CCTTTCCAGGCGCTGGCGCTACCGCAAGGCACTTACTCTCTCCTCCTGATCACTTCTCATACTGTCCTTTCAGTTCTGAATTATATTTCACCCGATTATGTCTATACTATAAGACTAAAATGTTCCTACACCAGAGCAAAGATTAATAGAGAATAATGATATAGTAAGATTGATTATATACTTGATTATGTGATTGAACCTAATATCTATTCAGTGTCATTTCTATAAGTAATCAGAAAACATATCATTGCTATAACTAAGCAATCAATTACTTATTATGCTGGGACAGACTGTGCCTTCAGTCTCTTGCCATGGCACCTGGGCAGCTTTCTTCCCACAGTCCAGGGCCTTTAAGGCAGAGCAGAAGGCCATGTGTGGCTGTAGCTCTGTGTCTGGGGTAGGTGGGCTCAGAGGTGGTTAGGGCTTTTCTTTTAAGTGCAGTGGGGCTGCAGGTGGGAGCTGGACATCCTTGGGCTTTAATAGGGTCATTCTGGCTGCTGGTTGAGCAAGGACTGAAGAGAGAGTGAGTGAGAAGCGGGGAGGAGGCCGACGGGTGAGGCGGGTGGTGGGAGTGAGAGACAGCTTCGTGTGGTGCCAGCTGAAGGTTTGGGAATGGAGGGGGGCAGATGAGAACAGAGTCTGGCTGGGTGTGGTGACTCACACCTGTAATACTAGGGCCTTTGATGCACAGTTGGAGGTCGGCTTGAGCCCTGGAGTTCGATGCTGTAGTCAGCTGTGACTGCACTATTGCACTCCACCCTGGGTGACAGAGCAAGACCCTGTCTCTTAAAAAGTACAAAAAAATCCAGAGAGATAGGGGTCAGGATAACTCACGATGTTTAAAGGTTGGAGCCGCTGAAACCAGGATGGGAAGCTGAGGGGCTTGGGAGGGCAAGGCGGGAGTTCTTTTCATTCCATTTGGACACCTTGGGTCTGGGGTGGGAGTGGCAGGTTGACCCCAGACATGTGAGTCAAGTTGACGGACAATATCTGGGCCACCTTTGGGGCAAGGCTCAGGGGCCAGGGGCAAGAGCATCTTTGAGGTTCTAAGGCCTCCCTTGGTGTCAGGAGGTCTTAAATTGATCTGGGCCTCGGAATGGAACCCATGGGGAGGGGGCAGGGCAGCTGAGGGTGGCCTGGGCTGCAGGTGCGCCCTTCCTACTTCTGAGAAGTGTGTGTCCGGCCACCCTAGGGTGTTATTACCACTGTCATAGCAAGTGCTTGAACCTCATTTCCAAGCCCTGTGTGAGCTCCAAAGTCAGCCACCAAGCCGAATACGAACTGAACATCTGCCCTGAGACCGGGCTGGACAGCTAGGATTACCGCTGTGCCGAGTGCCGGGTGCCCATCTCTCTGCGTGAGTGTGGTGGGACAGAAGAGGGTGAGGGAGCTGTTCCTGGCAGGGGAGCTGGTTGTGCAGGTGTGCGAGGGCCCATCAGTCAGACAGCGGAGTGAGGCCCTGGGGCAATCCCTGCTTGTTATCCTTGGAAAGTGACCCACAGGTCTGCTGCTGGCGTTTTTTTGTCACTGAAGCAGACTGAGGCTCCAGCGGTTCTGTGACTCCCCCAGGTCCCTGAGGAGTACCTGCAGGGCTGGGACCTGGCCTCTGCCTTCCTGGGCAGCCTTTTGTCACAGAAAGCCTCATCCACAGGGACTGGGAAGATCACACGGTTGTCACGCACATGTGTGCACCAGCTCTTCTCTCTGGAGAGTTGCTGGTGTTCATTCATCAAGTCCCCACACAGCCCTACAGTGGGGCCCTGTTTGTGTCTCCTTTTACTGATCAGAAGACAGGGCAGTGAGACGCTGGGACCACCTGAGGATGGGATGAGTCAGGAGGGAGCCCTTGGCCTGGCTGGCTGTCTGCCTGAGGGCCGTGGTCCATGGGAGGACAGACTGTGAGGCTGGGAAGCCGTGGGGGGCTCTGGTGAGGCGGGGACCCTCACCGCCCCTCTGACTTGGCGATGGTCCTACCCCCTGCAGGGGGTGTGCCCAGCGAGGCCAGGCAGTATGACTACACCAGCCAGTACTACTGCAGCCACTGCCACTGGAACGACCTGGCCGTCATCCCCGCACGCGTGGTGCACAACTGGGACTTTGAGCCTCGAAAGGTGGGAGTTGGAAGGTGGGGGCATTGCCCTGGAGAGGGAGAGCAGAAAGGGGGAGTAGAGTGTGGAGCCTGTGTGCCCCCGGTGGGTGTTGCTGGCTGTGGGGACCAAGGGCGGGTATCGCTGGTGCATGCGCCCTGGGCGGGTGTTCGAGGTGTCACCTGGCCTTGCCCGCAGGTATCCCGCGGCAGCATGCGCTACCTGGCGCTGATGGTGTCCCGGCCCGTGCTCAGGCTCCGTGAGATCAACCCTCTGCTGTTCAACTACATGGAGGAGCTGGTGGAGATTCCCGTGAGGCTGGGCCTGGAAATGGGAGGCAGGGGCGCTGTGTTCGATGGGCCCTAGGGCCGGGCCAGCACCCTCCTCCTCTGGGCCATGGGAGGTTCTGAGCAGAGGAGGGAGGCCACCTGCTTAGGGTGATATGGGCGCCATGGCTGCCCTTTGGTTGAAGGTGCTGGAGCTGTGTGCAGTAGTAATCTTACACCAGGCATGAATGCAATGTGAAATTTTCTAATAGCCATGTTAAAAAAGTAAAAAGAGCTGGGCTCAGTGGCTCACGCCTGTAATCCCAGCACTTTGGGAGGTGGAGGCGGGTGGATCACCTGAGGTCAGGGGTTCCAGACCAGCCTGACCAACATGGTGAAACCCCGTCTCTACTAAAAATACAAAATTGGCTGGGTGTGGTGGCACATGCCTGTAATCCCAGATACTCAGGAGGCTGAGGCAGGAGAATGGCTTGAACCTGGGAGGCAGAGGTTGCAATGAGCCGGGATCACGCCACTGCTCTCCAGCCTGGGCAACACGAGTGAAACTCTGTCTCAAAAAAAAAAAAGTAAAAAGAAACAAGTGAGGTTATTTTTAAAAATGTATTTTATTTAGCCCAGTATATCCAGAATATTATTTCAGCATGAAATCAGTGTATGTTTTTGAGATATTTTGTGTTCTTTTTCTTTTCTGCGCCATGTCTTTGTCCCCAGTGTGTATTCTCTGCTTATGGCCATCTCACTTTCAAGGGCTCTGTGGCTGTGCGTGGCTGGTGGCCCCTCTCTTAGCTAGTGGCGAGGGAGGAGTTAGGGCGGGAGCCAAGGGCAGGCGGGAGCCAAGGGCAGACGGGAGCTGCAGTCCCAGCAGGCAGGAGTGACCGAGTCTCCTGTGATGTGGTGAAAGGCACTGGGTCCCGTTTTACCAGGGAGGAGACTGTGGCCGCAGATTGAGGTGCCAGGGCTGGCCTCACTGCATGGTCAGCCCAGTGGGTCACCTGTTGTTTCTGTACAACAGCAGGCGAGCGGGCCATGGAGCTTTTCCCTGCTGGGTGCTCCTGCCTTGGCCCAGCCCACCTTTGCTGGTGCTCTAAGCTAGGAGGCCGTGGGTCTGCCTGAGGAGGATGTCCTGGCCCCCAGGTGTGGAGCAGGAACTGCACCTGCAGGAAGTTCCAGGTTAGACAGTGAGACCCTACAGTGGTTCCTCGTGGCATTTCTTGGAACCAAATCTGCCTGGAGGAGCTGTGTCCTGCTGCCTGTGACGAGCTCTGGGTAGCTTGGAAACGACCGGCCAGTGGCCTGCGTGTGTCGCTCGAAGTCCAGTGACGGGTCCGCGCGGCCGTAGGCACACACGGGAGGCTCGGGCTCTGGGGCGCCGGAGACCAACCCACCGAGAGGACAAACGAGCCCTGCTGAGGGGACGGTGTTCCAGCGCAGCAGGGGGCTGGGCGTGCGACTGTGGTTTCAGGAGCTGCTTTCCACGGAGGATCCCAGGAACAAGTGTTCACGCAGATGCCCGATTTAACGTAAGTCTAAAGCCGCTGGGTAACCGTCTGGGCAGGACGAGGCGGGGCTCGCGATCAGACGCTCGAACGGTCAGGCGACGGCGTGGACACCCAAGAGGGGGTCCCAGCCGGCGCCGCGGCCCTGTCGCGCATGCGCGAGGCCTCCCAGCGGGCGCCGGGACCTGGGACTGGTGATGTGCCGGCTGCTGGCGGCGGCCAGCAGTCGGGCGGCGGCGGGCCGCTGTCCTTGCTGTGGCGAGGCCGTGGCCCAGGAGGCGGCAGGACGGCCGGACCAGCGTGAGAGCCCTGGGCATGGCCCGCCAGGTAAGCAGGCAGGCGCTGTCCGCCGGTTCCGGGCGGCTGGGCTGCGCTGGACGCCGCGTGACGCCATCCGCCTGCGCCGGCCGCGGGGGAGCGCGGGAGCGCTGACTTGGTCCCCACAGTGAGGCCAGCTGCCCCTGGGCCGAGCTTCCCGCCGCCCACCTCCTGCTGGGCGCCCTCTTCGTCTCCAGGCTCCTGCTCTTCTCCCGCTACCTCTTCCACCCACTTCTTGCGGAATTCCCGCTGTTTCCCGGATGCCCGCTACCCTCGGACCATGGAACCAGGACTTCTAGCCTCCTTGCTCGGTTCTGTAAAGAACTGGGCTTTGAGCGATTTGCGCTTGCGTCTTGGCTCGCGAACCAGCTTTGTGGCTCGGTGGCATTCGGCTTTCTCCACCTCGCGGTTACTCTACGAACCAGATATGATAAGAGACTCGAAAGAGTTTTGCAAACTGTTGTTTGTTCAGCGGCCTCTGCCTCCCAAAATCCTGGGATTACAGGCGTGAGCCACGGTGCCTGGCCTAGCAGTTTGCGCTATAGTTAAAAACCCTGCCGGGCACGGTGGCTCACGTCTGTAACACCAGCGCTTTGGGAGGCCGAGGCGGGCGGATCACAAGGTCGGGAGTTTGAGACCAGCCTGGCCATCCGATATGGTTGAATCCCCGGCTCTACTGGAAATAGAAAAATTAGTCGGACGTGGTAGCGGGCGCTTGTAGTCCCGGCTGCTCGGGAGGCTGAGGCAGGAGAGTCGCTTGAACTCAGGAGGCGGAGGTTGCAGTGAGCTGAGATCACGCCACTGCACTCCAACCTGTGTGACACTGAGACTCCGCCTCACAAAACAAAACACCTAACAAGTCTCTTCATGAAAGCTTACGTTGTGGAGGTTTCCATGTGGTCATCTTTAATTCAGCGAGCTGTCTACACTGTCCTTGCTCTTGTAGAGGTTATATGCTGTGCAAGGAGGAACCAGACAGTAAGCAAGTACTAGGCATGTTGGGCAAAGGAAGCAGAATAAAGGAAGTAGAAAATGAAGAAAGGGAATGGAGGAGGGAAAAACGCTGTTATTTGTTGTTTTAGGTGGGGCGGTCAGACCCCTGCAGAAAGTGAGGGATTGAGATGAGCTTGCTGGGAACGTGGACTAGAAAGTGCGCTCCCCTAGGGTAGCTGCAACCTTGTGTTCTTTGTGAGCAGCAGGAAGAGGCTAGTGATAGGCAGTGAGGCCAGGAAAGGCAGGGCCTCATAGGGCTGCTGAGGTTGCACCTGTGTGCTGTGTGTGAGACTATGGGACCCAGGTAAGTTGGGTCAACTGATTCGTGGTCTGACTGGGAAGAGGACAACAGCACTTTGCCCTGTTTAAGGGAGTTTGTGTTTTGCCCACTTTCACATCTTGGCTTTGCATACACAAAAACTAATTTGCCAAGATTCTCTACTGTGCACTGTGAACTGACTTGCAGAAATCTCCAAGAAGGAATGGTAGACTCCTGTCTCGGTGTTTACATTTGCCATGAGAACGACATCTGATTTAACCAGGTGGAACCACAAAAGGACTAAATTGTGAACTAAAGCAAAGGAATTGGATGTTTTATCAAGTTTTGGAACCCTAAAGAGTCATACTTGGTACATTCAGGGCTGTAGGCTACCTGGTGTGTACAAGCCACCAGCACCGGTGCCGCACTGTCTTTGGGGTGGTCCTGGAAGAGCCCTGGAAGGTTGGGGAACCAGGGTTCTCGCTGCACACCTTCAGCTGCCAGCTGTCTTCAGGCACTCATTACCGCTCCATTTCTACTTTCTCAGATGAGCAATGGCGATCAAGTGAGGTGAGTAGGAAGCACCTGGCAGCCTACAGTGTGCAGTGCGACTACCTTCTCTTCTTCCTGTAGGTTTCCTGTGGACCCACACCGTGGGTTCCAAACCCCCATTCCGGCAGCATGCATTCCTGGCATCCTTCGAGTTTACTTACTCACTCTGGCAGGTACTGTGTGCCGTTGGTGCTGGGATGACTTGCTGCAGTGGGTAGATTTCATTCACCACACAGAAGCCTTTGTTAGCTCGCAGCCTTTACTGCTTAGCATTCTTCTGAGCTGCTTTCTTTTTTCCTGATTTTAACATCTTTTTCATAGCACATCTTTTCAGTCTATTGTGGTCTTTATAGGGATATTTGAATAATGTAGTTAGTTAGAAAGTTACTAGTTGGGGAATGAGTTTACTTTGGGGTAATATCCTACAGAGTCTGCCTCACCCTGAATGTTGACGCAGCTGGAAGAACATAGGTATTGTCAGCTACAGGTCTTGTTTCTTTATGATAAAATATTGGGGGCTAACGCCTGTAATCCCAGCACTTTGGGAGGCTGAGGTGGGTGGATCATCTGAGGTCAGGAGTTCGAGACCAGCCTGACCAATGTGGTGAAACCCCATCTCTACTAAAAATACAAAAATTAGCTGGTGTGGTGGTACACACCTGTAATCCCAGCTACTTGGGAGGCTGGGTCAGGGAGAATCACTTGAACCCAGGAGGCGGAGGTTGTAGTGAGCCAAGATTGCACCACTGTACTCCAGCCTCAGTGACAGACTTTTGAGACAGACTCTGTCTCAAAAATAAATAAATAAAATAAAATAAAATATTGGGGACACATAAATTCTTTGGTTGTGTTGGGATTTTGTTGGGTACAGTTGGTATTGGGTTGTTGAGTGCTTAGATTTTGTTTTTTAATATGTTTACTTTTATTGCAGTGTTTTTGTTGTAATGGGTTTTTTTTTTTTTTCTTTTTGAGAGGGAATTTCATTCTGACGCCCATTCCGGGGTGCAGTGGTGCAATCTCAGCTCACTGCAACCTCCACCTCCTGGTTTCAAGCGATTCTCCTGCCTCAGCCTCCTGAGTAACTGGGATTGCAGGTGCCTGCCACCACCTCCGCCTAATTTTTGTATTTTTGCTAGAGGCAGGGCTTTCACCATGTTGGCCAGGCTGGTCTTGAACTCCTAACCTCAGGTGATCTGCCTGCCTCGGCCTCCCAAAGTCCTGGGATTACAGCGCCTGGCCAACGTTTTCCTTCTTGAAGACTGAAGAAAATACGGATGTCTGGAAAAATTGTTTTCTTGGCTTGACAAAAATATTTACCTTTCCCTGGATGCTGTATTACCTGCCTATAGTCTGTGCTGTGAATAGCCACTGCACTCCAGTGAGACCCCATTTAAAGAACAAAAGAAGAGGCCAATCACGGTGACTCACACCTGCCATCCCAGCACTTTGGGAGGCTGAGGCAGGTAGATTACCTGAGGTCAGGAGTTTGAGATCAGCCTGGGCAACATGGTGAAACTCCGTCTATACTAAAATGTAAAAATTAGCTGGGCATCGTGGTGGTTGCCTTGTAGTCCCAGCTGCTTGGGAGTCTGAGGCAGGAGAATCATCTGAACCTGGGAGGCAGAGGTTGCAGTGAGCCAAGATCGCACCACTGCGCTCCAGCCTGGGTGACAGAGCAAAACTCCATCTCAAAAACAAAAAAGAAATTAACTTCTTGGTTGACCAGAGATGAGTCATAGTATATTTCTGTATTTAAATTTTACACAACTTTATATTTTAGTTTCATAGTCATGTTTTTGAAGCTGCACTATTTTAAGTTACTAAAATTGCCTCAGTTTCTAAGACATTTTTTGTTTTGTTTTGTTTTTTGGGGCACTTTTTGCTTGCTGTTGGAGGCAATAGCTATAAAAATTTGCAGTGCATTTCTGCAGTGAATTGTTCCTTTTAGTCTGTGGAACCATATTTCTTTTCTTTTTTTTTTTTTTTTTTGAGACGGAGTTTCGCTCTTGTTACCCAGGCTGGAGTGCAATGGCGCAATCTCGGCTCACCGCAGCCTCCACCTCTTGGGTTCAGGCAATTCTCCTGCCTCAGCCTTCTGAGTAGCTGGGATTACAGGCACACGCCACCATGCCCAGCTAATTTTTTTGTATTTTTTTTAGTAGAGACGGGGTTTCACCATCTTGACCAGGGTGGTCTCGATCTCTTGACCTCATGATCCACCCGCCTTAGCCTCCCAAAGTGCTGGGATTACAGGCTTGAGCCACCGCGCCTGGCTGTGGAACCATATTTCTAATGCGATATTTAAGGCAATAATCTCACACCTCAACCTGCATCCTGCTCCTTCCAGCGGTGTGGTCAGTGAGAATGTGCAGCTTTGTATTGCAGGAGAAGCTAATAAGCTACTCTGGTCTCTCGTTTCAGTGCCTCCAGAAGGTCCACTTTCAGAAACTGACTGCAGGCCAGACTGACATTATTTTCCTGGTGGCTCTGTTCGAAACCACCCAAAGGTAACTTTTTTTCATCACCATCATTAGCAGCATGAGGTTTACAGGAACTTCCACAGTGAGTGACCAGGGAGCAAGAAGCAAGACAACTGAGGGTACTCTCCACTCCACCCTGCCCCTTCTACCCATTTCTCGGCTTCCATATTGAGCAATACAACATCCAACACCTTCTCCGTGTCTTTATGTTGGTGATATCTCAATAAAGCTGGTGAGAGAAAAACTTTCCAAAGGAAGGTGCTAGATGAGTCTTTTGGAAGGCATGGGAGCCAACCTTGGTGTCTGTGTATCTGATTGAGGACCAGCTAAGTCCTCGTGTTTGGAAAGCAGAACAGAAATGATGAGCAGACTGTCATTACCTTAGAGCACACTTGCCTACTTGTAGTCCTTCTGTAGGCCATGGGCCTGTGCTTTATGTCCAGGGACAGTGTCCACCGAAGTCCCTGGGGACCCTATGTCCCTGCAGAGTAGAAGGCGTTCCCCACTACTTGCATCGATGTGAGGACCTGGGGCACATGCTGATTATATGAAGCAAGAAGAGAGACGAGACCAGGGAGAACTGGCCTCTCTCACTTTCTCTATATCAACTTGACAGTATGGTTGCTTTTCTTAGTGTGATTCTTTCTTCTAAAATATTAGAACTGGGCCGGGCACAGTGGTTCACAGCCTGTAATCCTAGCACTTTGGGAGGCCAAGGAAGGGCAGATCACCTGAGGTCAGGAGTTCGAGACCAGCCTGGGCAACATGGTAAAACTCTGTCTCTACTAAAAATACAAAAATTAGCCTGGGCATAAGTGGCAGGTGCCTGTGATCCCAGCTACTCGGGAGGCCGAGGCAGGAGAGTTCCTTGAACCCAGAAGGCGGAGGTTGCAGTGAGCTGAGATTGTGCCACTGCCCTCCAGCCTGGGTGACAAAGTGAGACTCCATCTCAAAAAAGAATTAAAATACTAGAACCTCATCCTTTTGTCCTCTAAGGGTTTGAGAATTACTTAAGATGAAGCGGAAGAAACACAAACTCAAAAAAATCAACAGCTCCAAAAAACGTTAAAAGGGCCAGTTTAATGGCCGGGCGCGGTGGCTCAAGCCTGTAATCCCAGCACTTTGGGAGGCCGAGGCGGGTGGATCACGAGGTCGAGAGATCGAGACCATCTTGGTCAACATGGTGAAACCCCGTCTCTACTAAAAAATACAAAAAAATTAGCTGGGCATGGTGGCGCGTGCCTGTAATCCCAGCTACTTAGGAGGCTGAGGCAGGAGAATTGCCTGAGCCCAGGAGGTGGAGGTTGCGGTGAGCCGAGATTGCGCCATTGCACTCCAGCCTGGGTAACAAGAGCGAAACTCTGTCTCAAAAAAAAAAAAAAAAAAAAAAAAAGGCCAGTTTGAAAAATCAGACTGTGAAGTTTTACACTGGAGTACTTTTAAAGCATTTACTGCGTGGGCTGAACTTGGGAACTGATGAGCGGTGGCCTGTGAGTGTGTGGTGTTGATACTGTCTTCCCTCTGCTTGCTCCTAGGTGTGAGCGGTGGGGCTGTGAGTGTATGATGTTGGTGCTGTCTTCCCTCTGCTTGCTCCTGGGTGTGAGCGGTGGGGCTGTGAGTATGTGATGTTGGCGCTGTCTTCCCTCTGCTTGCTCCTGGATGTGAGCGGTGGGGCTGTGAGTGTGTGATGTTGGCGCTGTCTTCCCTCTGCTTGCTCCTGGGTGTGAGCGGTGGGGCTGTGAGTGTGTGACGTTGGCGCTGTCTTCCCTCTGCTTGCTCCTGGGTGTGAGCGGTGGGGCTGTGAGTGTGTGATGTTGGTGCTGTCTTCTCTCTGCTTGTTCCTGGGTGTGAGCGTTGGGGCTGTGAGTGTGTGATGTTGGTGCTGTCTTCCCTCTGCTTGCTCCTGGGTGTGAGCGGTGGCTTGTGAGTTTGTGATGTTGGCGCTGTCTTCCCTCTGCTTGCTCCTGGGTGTTACCCATCCTTCTCAAGCCACCTTGTTTTTTATTTTCATCTCTTAGCACCTTTTTAACTGGTTTAGATTCTAAGCCTTGACAAATCATTTAAAAATTATATCACCATGTGGGTTTTGGGATTGGCAAACTTGGTATTTTGTGTTTCCCATGTGAAATGTTTCCTGCTTGGGTACCTATGAGCATAGGGAGGGCAAACAGGTAAAAGCATATTGGGAGGTGTGGTGACTTGCCTTGCTATGAAAGGAATGTTTCTTTGAAGACTCCTGTTTTTTTTTGAGACGGAGTTTCGCTCTTGTTACCTAGGCTGAAGTTCAATGGCGTGATCTCAGCTCACCGCAACCTCCACCTCCTGGGTTCAGGCAATTCTTCTGCCTCAGCCTCCTTAGTGGCTGGGATTACAGGCACGCACCACCATGCCCAGCTGATTTTTTGTATTTTTAGTAGAGACAGGGTTTCACCATGTTGACCAGGATGGTCTCTATCTGTTGACCTCGTGATCCACCCGCCTCGGCCTCCCAAAGTGCTGGGATTACAGGCTTGAGCCACCGCGCCCGGCGAAGACTCCTGTTCGTCCTTAAATGTGTGCCAAGTTTTACTCCATCTTGCAATATGTTTGCTGTTCCTGGGGTTACCTTGGCTTCTCTGGCCTTTCATAGTGTGATTTTGGGATCATTGGAGTGGCACTGTATTTGAAGGGGACAGTGTCATGGCTTATTTGTCCTGAAACTTGTGTGAATGTTACAGGAAGAGGCCAGTAGGTCTGTGGGTCACACGTGTATGACCAGATTTTTCGAAGGAGTAGCAGAAGGGGGACCACTCATACCAGTCTGCCTTATTATTTTCTTCATTTCTTTCTTTACCCTATTTACAGGCAATTTTGGGACTGTTACCTCAAAAAAGTTTGCTATTAAAGCTCAATATGAAGCCAGCAAGTTGAAATTTTAGAGATTTTAGATGTGTCTGAAGCTACTTCTCAGCAGAATGTCCCTAGCCTCATCCTTTTCCTGTTCTCTGTTTATTTCCAGAAGGCACTGGTGTTATTACAATTGTGTGATAGAAGCCGGGCGCGGTGGCTCAAGCCTGTAATCCCAGCACTTTGGGAGGTGGAGGCGGGTGGATCACAAGGTCGAGAGATCGAGACCAACCTGGTCAACATGGTGAAACCCCGTCTCTACTAAAAATACAAAAAATTAGCTGGGCATGGTGGCGCGTGCCTATAATCCCAGCTACTCAGGAGGCTGAGGCAGGAGAATTGCCTGAACCCAGGAGGCGGAGGTTGCGGTGAGCCGAGATCGAGCCATTGCACTCCAGCCTGGGTAACAAGAGCAAAACTCCGTCTCAAAAAAAAAAAAAAAAAAAAAAAAAAAAAAATTGTGTGATAGAAAGTGTTTTTCTGTTTTCTGAATCCTCATTCTCCGGAAAATTACACATAATTGTTTTTTGAAGTCAGACTTTGTTTTCTCTCAGAAACTGGTGTGCTAAAGAATGCTGGGCCTGGAGGAGATGGAGGCAGGAGAGGAGGCGCGCGCGGTGGCTTTGCCTGGTGGAGGCGGATGCAGAAGGTTTGTGTGTACCTTTGTCTGCTCCTGCTGCTGTAATGGAATACATCAGACTGGGTAATTTATAAACAGGGTAAATTTACTACTCACAATTGTGGAAGCCGGAGGTCCAAGATCATAGCCTGTACAACACGGTGAAACCCCATCTCTACAAAAAATATAAACGTCAGACCACGCGCGGTGGCTCACACCTGTAATCCCAGCATCTTGGGAGGCTGAGGCGGGCCGATAATGAGGTAAAGAGATTGAGACCATCCTGGCCAATATGGTGAAACTCCATCTCTACTAAAAATACAGAATTAGCCAGGCGTGGTGGCGCACACCTGTAATCCCAGCTACTTGGGAGACTGAGGCAGGGGAATTGCTTGAACCTGGGAGGTGGAGGTTGCAGTGAGCTGAGGTTGTACCACTGCATTCTAGCCTGACAACAGAGCGAGACTCTGTCTCAAAAAAAAAAAAAACAGAAAAAGAAAAATTAGCTGGCCGTGATGGTGCATGCTTGTAGTCCCAGCTATTCAGGAGGCTCAGGCAGGAGGATTGCATCAACCTGGGAGTTGAGGCTGCAGTGAGCCACAATCACGCCGCTGCACTACAGCCTGGGTGATGGATTGTGAGGGCACTAATCCCACTTGTGATGCAGAGCCCTTGGGACCTGACCCCCTCCCGGGGGAGCCCACCTCCTAATATCTTCACTTAGGGATTGAGTTCCAACATTGAAATTTTGGGAGAACACATAAATTCAAACCCATTATCTATCTTTCTGCTTGTTTAAAGGATGAGCTGTTGAATTAGTTCATAAGTTTCGAAGAAATTAACTTCTAAAAGTATACTGAGGACCAGGGTGCAGTGGCTCATGCCAGTAATCCCAGCACTTTGGGAGGCCGAAGTAGGAGGATTGCTTGAGCTTAGGAGTTTGAGACTATCCTGGGCAACATAGTGAGACCTCGTCTCTCAAAAAAAAAAAAACAAAAGAAATTAGCTAGGCATGGTGGTGTGCACCTCTGGTCCCATCTACTCAGGAGGCTGAGGCAGGATTGCTTGAGCCTGGGAGATTGAGGTTGCAGTGCAACCGTGATCATGCCACTGCACTCCAGCCTGGTAACCAAGCAAGACCCTGTCTCAAAAAAATAAATAAAATGAATTTTTAAGAATGTGCTGAGATTTTTATCTGGATTTTATTATTATGATTTTGAGATAGGGTCTCATTCTGTCATCCAGGCTGGAGTGCATTGATGTGATCACTGTTCACTAGTAGCCTTGATCTCCCAGGCTCAGATGATTCTCTCACCTCTACCTCTGGAGCAGCTGAGACCACAGGCTTGCACCACCACTCCTGGCTAATTTTTTTTTTTTTTTTTTTTTTTTTTTTTTTAGAGACAGGGGTCTCCCTATGTTGCCCAGGCTGGTCTTGAACTCTTGGGCTCAAGCAGTCCTCTCACCTTGGCCTCCTTAAGTGCTGGGCACTACAGACGTGAGCCACCATGTCTGTCCTCTATCTAGGATTTTAAAAGACTCAGATAAGAGATAACCCTAGCAGCAGTGGCTCAAACACAGCACCCGCTGTGGACTTTCTTCTTCTCCCGGGGCATCTGGTGAGCTGCAACTTTCAGTGTGTTTTATACACCACGGTAAAAACATCTTTCCTCTTGAGAGGGAACTCGAGGCTGCATGTTGTGTAGGGTGAGGAGGGGAGGGTCTTTTCTAATAACATCTGAAAAAGAAAATAGCTATTTTCATGAAGAAACTCCCTTCATTTGACTGGAAAATGTGTTTTCTTTTTTCTACAGGGGGACTTTCCCCTGGGATGACAAGGATTTCTGCGGTCTGGCCTTTTTAGGGGCAGGTGTTGCCATGGGATTTTTCTACCTCTATTTTCGAGATCCTGGAAGAGAAATCACTTGGAAGCATTTTGTACAGTATTACCTGGCCAGAGGTCTGGTGAGAGGAATTTATAATTTGTCTACCGGGAAGGGGGCTGCTGTAGTGGTGCGCCCCGTGTGTATGGTCTGCGATGCCCTAAGGAAGCTGTGAGCTCTGAGGCCTGCGGTGAAAATGCATTGTATGATGGATGTCCTGGACAGTCCCACCCTCAGGTCAGAGATGAGACATAGTGTTACTCTTCCCAGAGGTTATGAAGCTCATTTTCTTGCAAGGCAGAAGCTTTCCTTAATATCTTGACCATTTATTTTTATTTATTTTCGGCTTTGGCTTCTGTGAGTAAGTTCTGATGGTCCATTTATTGTCAGTGTCAATCTCATGTCTAATTCAGATCTTTTCTCTGCCCAGTGCACCCCTTGTCCCCTGCAGGCTGGCTCTGGACAGCAGCTGGGGCTTTGTGTCTTTGCACAGGGGCATGTGGCACCAGCAAGCCTCCACTTGTCCGTCACTGGGCATGGGTCTGTCAGGGTGCTGAAGTCTGGTGAAATGTTGCTCAGGCTTTAGCATAAAGTTACACAGGGGCAGGTGCTGTGTTTCCCAGTCGTCCTCAGAAAGATGTTTGCTAAGTGATGCGCTGTTAAGATCTGAACTTCTTTCTGTAGGAAAGTCTTGTTTTTCCACCCAGGTTTGTAGCCAAGGCCTTTTTTTTTTTTTGAGATAGGGTCTTGCTCTGTTGCCCAGGCTGGAGTGCAGTGGCGTGAAGTCACGTCACTGCAGCCTTTGACCTTCCAGCCTGAAGCCAGCCTCCCAGCCTCAGCCTTCTGAGTAGCTGGGACTGTAAAGAACGTAGTTTCGTTTTTAGGAGACAGGATCTCCTTATGTTCCCCAGGCTGGTCTCAAACTCCTGGGCTCAGATAATGCTCCTACTTTGGCCTCCTGAAGTGCTGTGATTATAGTTATAGTTATGAACCACCACGCAAGGCCTTTTTGTCTGGCCTCAGGGCACGTGCCTGTCTTCAGAGATGTCCCTGACGACTCCTCACAGGAGGAAGGGAGGGCTTCTGCAGCCCCTCTCTGCTGTTGCTGTGCCACCCACAGCTGCTGTCGTGAGCAGGAGGGCTGAGGCAGATACATTGGCCCAAGATGCTTGTTGGTGCATGGGTTCTGAACAGATCTCACAGCTCCTGTGAGTTCCTTTCTAGGTGTCTTGACATGCTGACCTTGACGTGGTCGTGGTGTTAAAGCCAAGAGGCACCTGTTGTGAGCATGTTGATGTTCATCATAAGACCCTGAGTAATCATTAGTTTCCAAGAAAAGTGTGTTGTAGTGGTTTCAGATTCTGTGGAGAGCAGAAGGAGCAGCAGTGTTGTCATTATACGTCGCGAAATGGCTTCGTCCTCAAGTTGTGTGTTTGCTGCACCCAGCTCTCAGGGGCTGTGTTCTCTGCTGGGTGGCTGCATGGAGACCTTTGGGGCTGCATTGTCGTTCTTGTTGGCACCATTTTCTTGTGGCACCTGCAGATGGACAATGTTTCTGGGTCAGTTCTGTAAGACTTGGCTATATTGACAGTCTGAGACTTATACTCCTTTTAGGGTTTGTTTTTTTGTTTTTGTTTTTTTTTTTTTTGAGATGGAGTCTCACTCTGTTGCCCAGGCTGGAGTACAGTGTATAATCTTGGCTCACTACTACCTCCGCCTCATGGGTTGAAGCAGTTCTTCCTGCCTACACCTTCTGAGTAGCTGGGACTACAGGCACATGCGACCACGTCTGGCTAATTTTTGTTGTTTTTTTGTTTGTTTGTTTGTTTTTTTTAAGACAGAGTCTCTCTCCGTCACCGGGAGCCAGGCTGGAATGCAATGGTGAGACCTCGGCTCACTGCAACCTCCGCCTCCCGTGTTCAAGCAATTCTCCTGCCTCAGCCTCCCGAGTAGCTGGGACGACAGGCGTGTGCCACCACGCCCAGCTAATTTTTGTATTTTTAGTAGAGACAGGGTTTCACCATGTTGGCCAGGATGGTCTCGATCTCTTGACCTCATGATCTGCCCACCTCTGCCTCCCAAAGTGCTAGGATTACAGGCTTGAGCCACCGCACCCGGCCAATTTTTGTATTTTTAGTAGAGATCGGGTTTCACCATGTTGGCCAGGCTGATCTCTTAACTCCTAGCCTCAAGTGATCCACCCTCCTCAGCCTCCCAAAGTGCTGGGATTACAGGTCTGAGCCACTATGCCTGGCCTTTCTTACAGATTTTTTTTTTTTTCTTTTTTTTTTTGAGACGGAGTTTTGCTCTCGTTACCCAGGCTGGAGTGCAATGGCACAATCTCGGCTCACCACAACCTCTGCCTCCTGGGTTCAGGCAATTCTCCTGCCTCAGCCTCCTGAGTAGCTGGGATTACAGGCATGCGCCACCACGCCCAGCTAATTTTTTGTATTTTTAGTAGAGACGGGGTTTCACCATGTTGACCAGGATGGTCTCTATCTCTTGACCTCGTGATCCACCCGCCTCGGCCTCCCAAAGTGCTGGGATTACAGGCTTGAGCCACCGCACCCGGCCTTCTTGCAGATTTTTAAGTTACTCTGGAATCTTTGGTGTTCAGATGTACCAAATTGTAACTCCTCTTCTTGAATTACATGCACAGGCCAGGCTAGAAATGTCCAAATTAATAAGAAAACAAAACTCGAATCTGTACAGCAGAGTAGATGCAGCCTCTCGGACGCTACTGGAGCCAGGTCTGCGCTGTGGGACTGGTCTCAGGATGAGGCCCGTGGTTTGCTGTTGAGTGTCATACTCACTGCTTCAGCTGTGCTGATAATTTTTCTCTTCTTCCCAGGTGGACCAGCTGGAAGTCGTGAACAATTTGTCCTTGTTATTCCTGCCCCTGGGACCTCTTCTGAGGTGAGGGTGGGTTTAAGGCTGAGTATTCCAGACATAAGTTTATTTAATGTAAAATGTAGTTTTCTATTTTTTCAGTAAAATATCTTCTTAGTATCTATCAACTTGTCATTGTGATGTTTTTCTTATTGGCACGTATCAATAACAAAGTCTTCCAAGTAGGACAGGAGCCCTCATGAGACTATAACTAGGATTCAGATTTGCCTTGCAACGTATAAGAACAACTCATCAAGGACTAGGGGAAGAGAAGAGACAAAGAAAAAAGGGTAAAAAGAAAAAAGGGATAGTCGGGCATGGTGGTTCAAACCTGCAATGCCAGCACTTTGGGAGGCTGAGGCATGTGGATCACGTGAGGTCAGGAGTTCATGACTAGCCTGGCCAACATGGTGAAACCCCGTCTCTACTAAAAATATAGTAGTTAGCTGGGCATGGTGACCTGTGCCTGTACTTTCAGCTACTCAGAAGGATAGGGCATGAGAACTGCTTGAACCCAGGAGGTGCAGGTTACAGTGAGCTGAGATCATCCCACTGAACTCCAGTCTGAGTGATAGAGTGGGACTCTGTCTCAAAATCAAAGAAAAGGAGACAAAGGCACACCTCAGCAGCTGTTGCACAGTTTACACTTTCATCTAGAATGTAAAGACTATGGTTCATGGGGCCAGAACCAGAGGGTCTTCTGCTGTTAGTAGAGTTTCCTTTGAAACTAGCCTCGGCATAGGTCTTGTGCATGTTATAGAGATTAAGGCTACGAGAAGGGGCTGTGGGAGGTGCGTGTGTTGAGGGTGGGTTCAGCGTGGGACGCAGTGGTATACCCTAAACTTGCTCTTGGTCTCTGCAGAAGTACGTGTGGTTTAACATCGGCAGTGTTGACACCTTTGAGCAGAACCTGGAGTCTGCCCAGTGGGAGCTGGGGAATCGAGCCCACAACCAGGCGGTGGTGGTGTACACCACTGAGAGCGATGGGTGAGGAGGGTGGGAAAGAGCCTCTGTCTGAACACAAAGCAAAAATGCAGTGTATAACCTGCTTTGGAATGTGTTTCTCAAGCATACATAGGCATCTGCTATTATTTATAATGTCTCTAGTGAGAAATATGTATATGGTTTATATATATTATATATGTTTTTAACTCTGTCTTTCATGAGAAGAGAATTGAAGCAGGAAAATACTTGGCGAGGCAGCCTTAAAAAAGAAAAACAGACGTTGAGTGTCATCATTAGAGCACGAAATCCCTGACGTCTTGTAGGGAGCTTCCAGAATTGGGCCCTGCAGTGGGATCCCCGCGAGAGCCCTGTCAGAAAGCCCTACCGTCATTTCTACCTGCCACTCCTGCAGAACTGTTGAATTAGTGTGCAGAGGTGGGGCTTGTGCTCCTGTGACTTCACCAGGCTCCCTGCTGGGCAGCCCCGCCCCATCCTCCCAGGTGCTGCAGGTCCCTGCGCACGACCCTGCAGCTCCGTATGGTGCCTGACACTCAGTCACGCCAAGCTTCCCATTGTTCTTAAGTTAATTTGGGTTTCCACTGCGTCATGTTTTTAAAGTGATTATGGACACGAGAGCAAAGACCAGATGAAGTAGTCTGTGCATCCCAGGACTCAGCACTGAAGTCAGTGTTGCTAAGCCCGGATCCTTTTGTCATGTTGACTACCTGAGGATGTCGTTGCTCAGTCTTCTCCGGCCCTCCTGCCCTGCATTGGAAACTCAACCAAGAGTGCAAGGCCAAGCACCAGCTTTAGCCAGGACAGAGTAAAAATGGGAATTATAGCGGTTCAGGTGGTTTCTTTGAGACGTACGTTTAAGCGCAGAGTAGGGGTTACAGTCGGGTGAGAGAAGGTGAGGCAGGTAGAATTCTGGTGATTAATTCGCAGACTCTAATGGCAGGGCCTGAAGTACCGGCGGTCTCCTGCTGGAGCTCCCAGATGTCATCTGGGTGCTATGTATGGCTGACTTTCATTTTGTCTTTGCTTGTTGAGTTGCCAGGAATGCTTAGTTGGATGTAAGGCCCCAAGCCTCCGAAGAGCAAGAAAAAGGATTAATAGGAAGACCTTTGGTGTTTTCCTGTTATGGGACAAGCCTGGTTGGCGTGAGGAGGCCTTGCTGGGTCTGCTGGGGGCACGGCCTCAGGGAGGGAAAGCTCCCTCAGAGCTGCTTGGCCAGGTGGAGGGTGTGGGCGGTGGAATTGGTCACCCTCCCTACCCTATCAAACCAGCCACAGGTTACATCAGGGAGACAGATGCCTATGACTGCAGCCTTCAGAACTGGAGAGGCCTTATGCTGGATGGACTTTGACACATTAAAATAAAATAAAAAAAGACAGTTGCTGTGATGGCTCACAGAGGTAATCCCAGTGCTTTGGGAGTCCGAGGAGGAGGAAAGATTGCCTAAGGCTAGGAGTTCAAGACCAGCCTGGACAACATAGTGAGACTGTGTGTCTTTAAAAACTTAAAAAATTATCTGGTGTGGTGGTACGCATGTCTTTGGTTCTAGCTACTCAGGAGGTTGAGGCAGGAGAATTGCTTGAGCCTGGGAGTTCAAGGTTACTGTGAGTATGCCAGTGCCCACCGGCCTAGGTGACAGTGAGACCCTATCTCAAAAAAAAAAAAAAAAACACAGGCTGGGCGTGGTGGCTCACACCTGTAATCCCAGCACTTTGGGAGGCTGAGGTGGGCGGATCACTTGAGGTCAGGAGTTCAAGACCAGCCTGGCCAAGATGGTGAAACCTCGTCTCTACTAAAACTACAAAAATCAGCTGGGCGTGGTGGCACGTGCCTGTAGTCCCAGCTGCTCCGGAGGATAAGGTGGGAGAATTGCTTGAAGCAAGACTCCATCTCAAAAATGAATAAATAAAATGGAACACACACACACACACACACACACACACACACAGAGACAGAAAAAAACCTGCTCCCTTTTGTGTAGCAAAACAAAGTCCTAGAGTGGTCTATTTTGAAAGACAGGGTTTTGCTTTGTCATCCGGGCTGGAGTGCACTTGTGTAATCACAGATCATTGCAGCCTTGAACTCCCAGGCACAAGCAGTCCTCTCACCTCAGCCTCCTGAGTAGCCGGGGCTACAGGCACACGCCACCACACCCAGCTAATTTTTGTATTTTTAGTAGAGATGGTGTTTCACTATGTTGGTTAGGCTTGTCTCAAACTCCTAACCTCAGGTGATCCACCTGCTTCTGCCTCCCAAAGTGCTGAGATTACAGGTGTGAGTCACTGCACCTAGCCATTACTATATTTCTTGTACAGATGGGGTCTTGCCATGTGATCCAAGCTGGTCTTGAATTTCTGGGCTCAAGAGATCCTCACACCACAGCCTCCCAAAGTGCTGGGATTACAGATGTGAGCCACCGTGCCTGGCATGAGGGTGCTATTTCTGATCTGAGCATGATGAGTAGTTCTCTTGGATTTTCCAGCTCACTCTTGTGAAGCCTGGTGCCCACCCTTCTCCTGGTTGGAATTCTCCTCTGTGCTGCCAGGAGGGGCCCGATGGGAGCTGGGCCCAGTGGACGAGGATGGGGCCTCTTCAGCGTTGGTGAGACAACAGCCAGGGTCTTAAAGAGCAACATTGATGTGCGGTTCGCAGGCTGTAGCTGATTGCGAAGAAGCCAAATTGGAAATTATGGAATTTGTGAATTTCCTGAAGAATCCCAAGCAGTATCAGGACTTGGGAGCAAAAATTCCAAAGGTATTGGTTTTAGAAAACATAGTAATATCCTGAGCTTCAAGTAAAAGCCAGAGATGGCTGTGGGTCACAGTTGCTTCTCACTTATGTTTTATTACATTATTAGTAATGACATGAAGCAGCAGGTGCAGCCTGCATGAACAGGCTTGGGACCAGATGTAGTGCCTTTTGGAAAGTCCCACTACCTGGACAGTGGCTGGTGTGTGCAGCCAGGCAGCCAGTGCGTTTGCGGGTGCCATGGGTCAGGGTGGTGGTTCTGGCTTCTGGGCACCCAAGGCGAGTTTACCTTTTGGTGCCATTTTGGGGTCATGACTCTTTGTGGGGTCCCTGACAGAAGCCGTGGTGTTTTTTTCTGAGAAATACTTGAATTCACAGAAACTCAATTCACAGACCCTTCAAGTCGTCTCTGGGCTTTGACCAGGCTGAGGACAGCCAGATCATGGCAGTAGCCTTGTCCACCCCCCGCAGGCCCCTCTCCATGGGGTGGTATTCACTGGGACGTTCGTTCCAAACAACAGATAATTCTTACACCAAGTACTGTGAACCTAGGTGAAGCCAGGAGGTCACAGACTTGTGTTCTAACTTGGTGAGCACAAGGCCGGGAAGCTGGCGTGTGTGACGTGTGATGGACGTGCAGAGCTGGGGCCTCCTGCTCGTGGTGGAGCCCTACTGGCAGCTGCCACTCACCTCTGCTCATAGTCAGGCGCTTCAGTGGGTGGTTCTCTTTGCCTTGCAGAATTAAAAAAAATTTTTTTTGAGACAGAATCTTGTTCTGTTGCCCAGGCTGGAGTGCACTGGTGCAATCTCGGCTCATTGCAAACTCCACCTCCTGGGTTCAAGTGATTCTCCTGCCTCAGCCTCCTGAGTGGTTGGGATTACAGGTGCATGTCACCGTGCCTGGCTAATTTTTGTAATTTTAGTAGAGATGGGGTTTCACCATGTTGGCCAGGGTGGTCTTGATCTGCTGACCCCAGGTGACCCGCCTCAGCCTCCCAAAGTGCTGGGATTACAGGTGTGAGCCACCATACCCGTTTTTTGTTTGTTTGTTTTTAAATTTATGTCTATTACATTTTTTTCATATGCATATATTTGCTGGGGAAAATCTGTGTAATCGAGGGAGTGCGTGAGGCAGTCAGGTACCAGGGAAGGCCTCTCACGTGGCGTGTCGGTCCCTCTCTCCCAGTAGGCATGGGCTCTTGTTGCGAGAGGGGGCTCTGTCAGCCGGTGTCATGTCACAGGCCTTGTGTTGTGCTGTGGATGTCAGGAAAGAGTTAGTGGGGTCAGGCCCCACCTGGCTTTCCATTTCTCGGGTATGAAGTACAGTGATTTCCCAAAATCACCACTGCCTTTGGCATCCCCCTGTGAGAATCCATCATGAAGAGTGGCAGTGTGTGTGGTCACAGGTGGGCGAATTTCCTGGAGCACCTGAGTGGGATGGAGTGTGCATGGGCGAGTCCAGCCTCCTTCTGCCTCCGGCATGCTCTTAGGTCAGCAGGGCTGGTGCAGGCAGACTTGGTGTCCTGCTGTAGTGTGTCACGACTGTCCACAGCAGGCTGACATGTGTAAGGCCCCACCCTGCCACTGGAAGAGCCGTGTTGGGTTTTCGGCTCCAACACTGGACATTGGTTTGACTTTTGTGGCCCCTCTCACCGTTTATGTCTTTTGTTTTCTTCTTAAACACTTAAGAAAAATCCCCCAAAGCCTTAGGATCCCTTTTGAGATAGTCAGATATTGGCCCCCAGCCTTGACTAGAAACAGCAATCCAGGGATGCCTTTTATATCCCAATATTCAGGCATGACAATAATCGATAAAAAGAAACAGGTGTGATAGAAGGGCAGTGAATTGGTGAAGCCACAGTAGATAAAGGCAGAGAAAACAGTCAGTAAACACCAGCATATCCTCAGTCTTAACAGCTGAAGAGACAGCTTGAGAATGAGGTGGTGTTTCTGTCCTTCAGGTCTGCAAGGTTCCAGAGCTGAACACATTATCTGTGGCCAAGGATTTGGAGAGGCAGGCTGCTGTTTCTTCCTTGTGGGAGTGTGAATCAGTATCACTGTTTTGGAGAGCAGTTTGACAGTAATCATTAAAATAAACATACAGAGCTGGACGCGGTGGCTCACACCTATAATCCCAGCACTTTGGGAGGCAGAGGTGGGTAGATTACGAGGTCAAGAGATGGAGACCATCCTAGGCAAGATGGTGAAACCCCGTCACTACTAAAAATATAAAAATTAGCTGGGTGTGGTGGTGTGTGCCTGTAGTCCCAGCTACTTGGGAGGCTGAGGCAGGAGAATCACTTGAATCCAGGAGGCGGAGGTTGTACTGAGCCGAGATTGTACTTCAGCCTGGCAACAGATTGAGACTCTCTCAAAAAAAAATAAATTAAAAAATAAGTAAGTAAGTAAATAAATAGACATTCAGAACCTTTGATCCAGCAAGTCTACCCCTGGATCTTTTCCTGCAGAAATAACAGACTTATCTGAGTACAGAACATGAAGGTTTTCATTTTCTATATTATCTCTATATTGTTTGACCTTTTTTGTGGTAAATGTGCATTAATTTTAAAAGCAATGAAGATTGGCTGGACGAGGTGGCTCATGCCTGTAATCCCAGCACTTTGGGAGGCTGAGGTGGGTAGATCATGGGATCAGGAGATGGAGACCATCGTGGCAAACATCGTGAACCTAGAAGGTGGATGTTGCAGTGAGCCTAGATAGTGCCACTGCACTCCAACCTGGGCAACAGAGCTTAAGACCAGCCTGAGCAACATGGAGAAACGTCGTCTCTACTAAAAATACAAAAATTAGCCAGGCGTGGTGGCGCATGCCTGTAATCCTGGCTCCTTGGGAGGCCGAGGCAGGAGAATCACTTGAACCTGGGAGGTGGAAGTTGCTGTGAGCCGAGATCGTGCCATTGCACTCCAGCCTGGTCAACAAGAGTGAAAGTCTGTCTCAGAAAAAAATAATAAAAAGGAAAAACTCTCAGGTTATAAGGGTATGCATCTGGTGGGATTCTTCTTAGTCAATCTCAGAAGTCACCTGTGGCGGAAAACAAATTCCTAGTGCACTCTGTCCTGTGTAGTAGCTGCTCCCCTGTTAAGAACCTGCTGTCTTCGTTCTTTTCAGGGAGCCATGGTCACTGGTCCTCCTGGTACAGGCAAGACACTTCTTGCCAAAGCAGCTGCAGGGGAGGCCAGTGTGCCCTTCATCACTGTGAATGGGTCGGAGTTCCTGGAAATGTTTGTCGGCGTTGGCCCAGCAAGGGTAGGTGGATGGAACCGCTGCAGGCAGCCTCAGCACCGTGGCTTGACCAGGACTGGTCAACTTGAATAGTTTGGTGTGGGGCCCTGGCCGTGGGCACCTGTGGGAGGTGCTGGTGCACCCAGGCAGAATGGGTCAGAGGTTTCCGAGGAGAGGGTGGAGGAGAACCGGCATTCCTGTCTTCTGCCAGTAGCAAAATGGACTCTGTGTGGATTCCCTTTTCAGGTGCGTGATATGTTCGCAATGGCCCGAAACAATGCTCCATATATCTTATTCACTGATGAGATTGATGCGATTGGCAGGAAGCGAGGCCGAGGGCACTTTGGAGGGCAGAGTGAGCAGGAGAACACCCTGAACCAGATGCTGGTGGAGATGGACGGTGCGTGCAGACCGCAGCAGCCTGTGGTGTGCAGCTCTTCCCCCACAGCTGCTTGGCGACTCTGTCTGCACCAGCCTTTTTCTCTAAATGTCACCTCCAGAAGAGAATCCCTGATTGTTCTGTTTTAAGGAAGGCTTCTCTCAGGCAAGTGTGATGGAGAAAGCTGTGTTAGGTTCACAAGCCTCCTTCAGTGCCCATGATAGGCAGGGGCAGTGCACTCCCCTGCCCCCAGATGGAAAGGGTTTCTCTGGAGTGGGGAGACAGCTGCCTCTCTGGGGAAGGGGTATCAGGTAGACAAGCACAGGGTGCTCCTGACTGGTGCCCACAGGGTGGTGTGCACACAGCCCGTGCTCCTTCCACTCTGAGCCTTGTCTTCGCTGCCCCTGCCTCACCCAGAATCTCACAGACACCCCCAAGGTCTGCCTCCTCCCAGAGTGATTCTAGCTGATATGTGACTGATGGTCGCCTGTCAGTCCTGCTGAAGCCTTATTGGGCACATCCAGGCATCTGTGCCAGCCTTCAGATTTGGAAGAGCTGTCACTTAGACATCTGGCAGATTTGATTTCTCAGTTGGCTTTAGGGCAGTGTTCCAGGTCCCTGAGACCACCCCCGATAGTGGTGACTTGCTAGAAGTCACAAGGACTCAGCCTGTAGTTACGCTCATGGCTATGATTTATTACCATTAAAGGACACAGCAAAATCAGCCAGGGCAGAAGGCGAATTGGGTCACATGGGAGGCCAGGTGCAGTGTGGAAACTTACTCCAGTGGAGCCACCTGGGACACGCTGACTTCCCCCAGCAGCAAGCTGTGACCACGCATGCCAGATGTTGACAAGGAAGCCAGGGTGTTCGCGGCACCCTCTACCTGGCATGCATCAGGCTTTGCACAAAGGGTTTGGGCACAGGGAGCTGTTGTTCTCAGGGAATGGTAGGGAATGCTCTCAAATCACAGTGCCCACACACTGCCCTTGCGAGCAGGCCATTTTGAAGACAGCAGTCAGGCCTGCTATGTTAGTAACACTTTTCTCTACAGGTCAAAATCATTTCCTAAATATTTTTTTGACTGTAGTACCCAATGGTAATTCTAATTAGATTATGACTGTTTTGATATCTGAAGGGCACTGATTGGAGAGAGGAGGGAAGTGGGCACCCAGCTTTCATCGTCCCTTCCCTCTGCTGGGCACCCATCTCCTGTGTAGCCTTTGGTCCTGCCCTCATCCAGTCCAGCACCAAGTGATATCAGAGGCAGCAGGAACCGGTCGTAAGTCAGGATGAGGAGGACCCACGCCTTGGGACTTGTCTGTGCCTCCTGAGACAGGCTGTGGGGTTCCCGGTTCGCGGAGGCTAGGCTGGTTACCTGTCATGCACACATCGGGTTTGCCACATAGTCTCACCTGCTTCTCCTGTGTCCAGGGTTCAACTCAGCCACCAACGTTGTGATGCTGGCCAGCACCAACCGCCCTGACGTCCTGGACTCGGCCCTGATGCGGCCTGGCCATTTTGACCGCCAGATTTACATTGGTGAGTGTACATTTCTCAGGGTTGGGCTGGTCTCCCCTGGGCTGAAAAGTTTGGTTAGGTCATTTGCAGTGTATTTGGAGGAGATTTTGATGGTAATCCTGAAGCAGTTAATTGAACATTTTGAAAATGTGGAGATGCTGGCAGTCCGGTTTTTGGGAAGAATCCATGTGGCTGGGCCTGAAGGGATGTTGCTGCAATAGAAACAGGTGGCAGGAGCTTGTAGCAGATACTGGTAATTTAGAAGACAGCAGTTTATCTGTTATTCTTCAGCCTGACAGCCTTCCCCTACCCTCTTATGTTTCTTAGGAAGCATTAATTCCATGTGTCCTGCCCGCAGCAGGCCTTGTGTTGCTTGCTGTCAGGTCACATGGCCCTGGGTTGAGGGTTCAGGAGCTGTGGAGCCCGATGTGTGTGCGCCTTGGCTGGTTTCTGCCATTGCTTCCCAGCTCTGGCTGGAGGATGACAGCAGAGACCCCCCACAGGGATCCCAGGTGTCCTTGCAGTTCTGGGATGTGGCTGTGGTGACCGTCCCAGCTGTCCTTGGTGTTCTGGGATGTGGTTTTGGTGACCGTCCCGGCTGTCCTTGGTGTTCTGGGATGTGGCTGTGGTGACTGTTCTGAAGGCCCAGAGTGTACAAGAGGCCTTTTTCGCTAGGCCCCCCTGACATCAAAGGCGGGTCCTCCATCTTTAAGGTTTACCTACGCCCACTGAAGCTGCACGAGAGCCTCAGGAAGGACGCCCTGGCGAGGAAGCTGGCAGCGCTCACCCCAGGCTTCACTGGTGAGTGGTGGGAACTATGTGTGCTCTGCTTCTTGTCATGGGGGGTGGTGACTTGCCATTCCATTCAGTTCTGGCAGTGCTCACCCTTGTCTGTAGGACTTTTCACCTGTTCAGAGTGTTCAGAGACCTCAGATCATTTTTCTTAGCCCCAAAACTAATTTGTACCCATTTGTTTTTTTTTTTTGTTTTTTTTTTTTTTTTTTTGAGACGGAGTTTTGCTCTTGTTACCCAGGCTGGAGTGCAATGGCACGATCTCGGCTCACCGCAACCTCCGCCTCCTGGGTTCAGGCAATTCTCCTGCCTCAGCCTCCTGAGTAGCTGGGATTACAGGCACGCACCACCATGCCCAGCTAATTTTTTGTATTTTTAGTAGAGACGGGGTTTCACCATGTTGACCAGGATGGTCTAGATCTCTCGACCTCGTGATCCGCCCGCCTCGGCCTCCCAAAGTACTGAGATTACAAGCTTGAGCCACCACGCCCGGCCAATTTGTACCCATTTGAATTTGTTTTAATTATATTCAGACTTAGTGAGTCTTACTGCAGAGCTGACAGTAACGTCCCAGAGAGAATCTGCCAGGCTGATGCTTCCTGAGCTGTTTCCGCCTGGGGCTTGGCCTCCCTGCTGGGGAAGCTCGTTTGCTTTTTTCTGTCTTTTTAATGAAAGCTCCCTCTATGCTAGGAAACCTGCTTCCCTGCTGGGCAAGATCACCCTTCAAGAATGAGTGGGGACTTTTTCAGGGGGATTCCTGTCCTTCTCTCTCCTGCTCCACAGCTGTTTTCTGCCTCAGTACCTCATGGTTATGTGGCCATTGGCCACAGGCTCCAGCCTACACCCCATCTGCTCCCTCTACTCCTGGAATATTCTGCTGTGGTGTCTCATCCCCTCCAGCTGCCTTGGCATCCCCGGTGGTACCTGTCCCCTGGGCTCCCCACAGTGTCCTGCCTAGTTTGGGGTCAGGTGTATTCATACACAGAATTGCACGTTTGTCTGCTGCAGGATGGTGAGTGAGAAGGCTCTTGCCTGGCAGCCATATGAAGTGTGTCATCTGTCTTAGACACAAAATGTGCTTCCTCTCTTTTTGTTCTCCTCTCTGGCTGACTTCAGATGTCTATTTACATAACAAAGATACGAAGCTGGAATGCTACCCAGACTGCTTTCTTCTGCCCCTAGTGGGGGATGACTCAGCGGGGATGACTCTGACTCAGCAGGGATGACTCTGACTCAGCACTTCCCCTCAGCAGAGATGACTCAGGAATGACTCTGATGACTCTGACTGTAGGGATGACTCAGCACTGCCCCTCAGCAGGGATGGCTCAGCAGGGATGACTGAGTAGCGATGGCAGCACTGTCCCTTAGTAAGGATGAGTCAGCAGAGATAACACTTCTTCAGGGATTACTCAGCAGAGGTGACATAGCACTGCCCCTCAACAGGGATGGCTCAGCAGGGATGACTGAATAGAGATGACAGCACTGTCCCTCAGCAGGGATAACTCAGCAGGGATGACTGAGATGACAGCACTGTCCCTCAGCAGGGATGACTCAGCAGGGATGATAGCACTGTCCCTCAGCAGGGATGACTCAGCAGAGTTGGCAGCACTGTCCCTTAACAGGGATGACTCAGCAGAGATGACTGAGTAGAGATGACAGCACTGTCCCTCAGCAGGGATAACTCAGCAGGGATGACTGAGTAGAGATGATAGCACTGTCCCTCAGCAGGGATGACAGCACTGTCCTTCAGCAGGGATGACTCGGCAGAGTTGGCAGCACTGTCCTTAACAGGGATGACTCAGCAGAGATGACTGAGTAGAGATGACAGCACTGTCCCTCAGCAGGGATGACTCAGCAGGGATGACTGAGTAGAGATGACAGCACTGTCCCTCAGCAGGGATGACTCAGCAGTTGGCAGCACTGTCCCTTAACAGGGATGACTCAGCAGAGATGACTGAGTAGAGATGACAGCACTGTCCCTCAGCAGGGATGACTCAGCAGAGATGACTGAGTAGAGATGACAGCACTGTCCCTCAGCAGGGATGACTCAGCAGGGATGACAGCACTGTCCCTCAGCAGGGATGACTCAGCAGTTGGCAGCACTGTCCCTCAACAGGGATGACTCAGCAGGGATGACTCAGAGGGTGTAGGTCAGAGGCGGTGGCAGTGACCACATAATCATGAGGTACTGAGGCATTAAACAGCTGTGGAGCAGGGGTGAGGAAGACAGGAATGACAGTGCTGTCCTTCAGCAGTGATGACTCAGCAGAGACGACAGCACTGTCCCTCCGCTATCATCTCAACAGGGATGACTGAGTAGAGGTGACTTGGGGATGACTCTGACTGCCCCTCAGCAGGGATGAGTCTGCTTTGCATCAATGGAAACATCGTAGTGTCTATCAGCAGGTGAATGGCCAAAGTGGCATATACTGTAGTTGAATTTAGCTATAAAAGGGAATAAAGTAGGCCGGGTGTGGTGGCTCACGCCTCTAATCCCAACACTTTGGGAGGCCGAAGTGGGCAGATCATGAGGTTAGGAGTTTGAGACCAGCCTGGCCAATGGTGAAACCCTGTCTCTATAAAAACATAAAAAATTAGCTGGACATGGCAAAATCCCATCTCATTTTTTTTTTTTTTTAATTTGAGACAGTTTCACTCTTGTTACCCAGGCTGGGGTGCAATGGCGCGATCTCGGCTCACCGCAGCCTCCGCCTCCTGGGTTCAGGCAATTCTCCTGCCTCAGCCTCCTGAGTAGCTGGGATTACAGGCACGTGCCACCATGCCCAGCTAATTTTTTGTATTTTTAGTAGAGACGGGGTTTCACCATGTTGACCAGGATGGTCTCGATCTCTTGACCTCGTGATCCACCTGCCTCGGCCTCCCAAAGTGCTGGGATTACAGGCTTGAGCCACCGCGCCTGGCCTCATTTTTTTTTTTTTATAATTTAAAAATGAGGCTGGGCGCATGGCTACCGGTGTGCGCCTATAGTCCCAGCTACTCTGGAGGCTGAGGCAGGAGAATTGCTTGAACCCAGGAGGCGGAGGTTGCAGTGAGCCGATCTCACAAAAAAAAAAAAAAAAAAGGAATAAAGCATGGATGCATGTTGCCACAAGGGTGAACCTAGAAAATACTGTTCTCAGTGCAGGAAGCTAAACACAAAAGGCTGTATGTTATATAGTTCCATTCATGTGAAATGTGCAGGGGAGTAACAGGGATACATAGAATAGCAGATCTCTAGGGACAGATGTGAGATGGGTGGTTGCCAGAGGAGGAAATGGGAATTAACTCTGAATAGGCAGAGGGTACCGTACAGAGATGATGGAAAGTTTCTAAAACTAGATTATGGCAATAGTTGCAGTCCTTGATAAGCTTATTAAAAATCATCAATGTGTACATGTAAAATGGGTGGATTTTATGGTATATACCTTATGCCTTAAGAAAGGTTCTCAAAAAATGTAGCTAGATTAAGTGGTGACAGATAGAGCACCTCCATTACCTTCAGGTTATCCACTGAAGTTCAGCCTTGGCCTCTCTGCTGGAGACGTTCCTTAACAAAGCTAACCTGGGTCAAGCTCCAACCACCAGGAGAAGCACTGACTGTCCCTGTTTCTCCCTTCCTAGGTCAGGTGCTGATATTTCCAATGTTTGCAATGAAGCAGCTCTGATTGCCGCCCGGCATCTGAGTCCTTCTGTTCAGGAGAAGCACTTTGAGCAGGCCATCGAGAGGATCATTGGAGGTGAGCCTGGCAGCTTGGGGAGGGAGGGCTGTTTGCAGCTCTAGGCCTGGCAGGCTCACCCTCTGGCCCCAGTTTCTGCATGCAAGCCGCATGCAGTGGCTCACGCCTGTAATCCCAGCACCATGGGAGGCCAAGGCGGGTGGATCACTTGAGGTCAGGAGTGCAAGACCAGCCTGGCCAGCATGACAAAACCCCATCTCTTTTTTTAAATATAAAAATTAGGCTGGGCACATGGCTCGCGCCTATAATCTCAGCACTTTGAAAGGCCAAGGTGGGCGGATCAGAAGGTCAGGAGATCGAGACCATTCTGGTCAACATGATGAAACCCCATCACTACTAAAAGTACAAAAATTAGCTGGGTGTGGTGGCGTGTGCCTGTAGTCCTAGCTACTGAGGAGGCTAAGGCATGAGAATCGCTTGAACCCGGAGGCAGAGGTTGCAGTGAACCCATATCATGCCATTTTACGCCTGGTGACAGAATGAAACTCTGTCTCAAAAAAAAAAAAAAATAGCTAGGTGTGGTGGCACATGCCTAGTACCAGCTACTCAGGAGGCTTAGGCAGGAGAATCTCATCAAAAAAATATCAATTCGTATGTAGGAACCCATTTCCTTTTTTTTTTTTTTTTGAGATGGAGTTTTGCTCTTGTTGCTCAGGCTGCAGTGCAGTGGCATGATCTTGGCTCACTGCAACCTCTGCCTCCCAGGTTCAAGTGAGTCTCCTGCCTCAGCTTCCCAGTAGGTGGGATTATAGGGGCAGGCCACCACACCCGGCTAATTTTTGTATTTTTAGAGATGGAGTTTTGTCATGTTGCCCAGGCTGGTCTCGAACTCCTGACCTCATGTGATCCACCTAGCTTCTCCCAAAATGCTGGGATTACAGGTGTGAGCCACTGCACTCAGCTGCAGGAACCAAGTTTCTAAACCAACACATGGGACTTGGGATCTTCCAACAACTTTCATGCCCCTTTTGGGAGCGACATTTAGACCTTGAAAGGGATGGGCCTTCCAGGCCATGTCAGGCCCAAGGAAGCAGATTAGAAGCATCTTTGAATACCTTCTGTGGAAGGCAAAGCAGTCTTCTTCCCTGAAGGGAATGGGAACGGATGTGGTTTCCTGGGAAAAGCCTTGTGGATGCTGCAGGGACCATCCATCCTGGGCATTTCTTTTTTCTTTTTCCTTTTTCTTTTCTTTTTTTTTTTTTTTTTTGAGACGGAGTCTTCCTCTGTTGCCCAGGCTAGAGTGCAGTGGCGTGATCTCGGCCCACTGCAACCTCCACCTCCTGGGTTCAGGTGATTCTCCTGCCTCAGCCTCCTGAGAGCTGGGGCTACAGGCGTGCGCCACCACACCCACTAATTGTATTTTTAGTAGAGACAGGGTTTCGCTGTGTTGCACAGGCTGATCTTGAACTCTGTTCTTGCACTCCAGCTGGGGCCCATTTTAAGGCTTCCGTGTGAGGTGCGTTGGTGGGTTTCACTGCAAAGCGGAAGGCAGTGGGAACAGGGGGCTTGGCTTCTGCTGTTTGGTATAGATGGGCCTGGGGATCCTGGCTGGGTGCAGAGGGAGTGGCCTCGTTTACCAGCCACCTACTCTTGCCCTGCCCAACTCACCTGGGAATGTGATGTCTAGGCCTTGAGAAGAAGACCCAGGTCCTGCAGCCCAGGGAAAAGACAACTGTGGCTTACCATGAGGCCGGACACGCGGTGGTGGGCTGGTTCCTGGAGCATGTCGACACCCTGCTGAAGGTTGGTGTCCCCCCGCCGCACCCCGAGTGAGTCCACCCGGCAGGCTTGCACCTGGTATCTCTGGGCCAACCCGTGGTGGTGTGGCCATGGGACATTGAGGAGGTGGTCCTATAACTTTTTAAGGAATACGCTGCTCTAGAAATTGTCAGAAGACCCTTTGGGGTGGGAAGGCAGAGCAGTGGGTTCCAAATGGGGCTTTGACAGTGTGACTCCAGGCAGCAGCCTCAGTGTTCAGCTCACCTCACTCCTGAGCTGGCATGCAGCTCTTGGGCCCCACCAGAGCCTCTGCAGGGTGGGCAGAGCAGAGGCGGTTTCCATGTGAAGCTCCCAGAGGCGGGTGCACTTCTTGGGGCATCCCCAGGGTGTCTGGGTGCCTGGATCAGGCTCTCTTCTCTCACGTTCCAGTAAAAGGACCTGCAGTCAGAGCTAGGGTCAGGTGGACCTGGCTGCTCCAGGGTGGCTCCTGGAGGAAGTGGGGACTGTGTTTGGGGTGACAGGGGTGTGTGTCCTCTCCTGCAGGTGTCCATCATCCCCCGGGCAGGGGGCTCAGCTGTGCGCAGTACCTGCCAAGGGAGCATGGGGTGACAAGGGCATGTGTCATCTCCTGCAGGTGTCCATTATCCCCTGGGGCAAGGGGCTGGGCTGTGCGCAGTACCTGCCGAGGGAGCATGGGGTGACGGGGGCATGTGTCCTCTCCTGCAGGTGTCCATCATCCCCTGGGCAGGGGGCTCGGCTGTGCGCAGTAGCTGCCGAGGGAGCATGGGGTGACGGGGGTGTGTGTCCTCTCCTGCAGGTGTCCATCATCCCCCGGGGCAGGGGGCTTGGCTGTGCGCAGTACCTGCCGAGGGAGCACGGGGTGACAAAGGCATGTGTCGTCTCCTGCAGGTGTCCATCATCCCCTGGGGCAGGGGGCTGGGCTATGCGCAGTGCTTGCCGAGGGAGCAGCACCTCTATACCCAGGAGCAGCTCTTCGATTGCATGTGCATGATGCTTGGGGGCAGGGTGGCTGAGCAGCTGTGCTTTGGGCAGGTCACTACGGGGGCTCAGGATGACCTGAGGAAGGTCACCCAGAGCGCCTATGCCCAGGTAAAGTGTGGGCATCCCCTGGCGTGGGCTGCAGGCGACTTGTGTCGGGCCAGGCTCACCCCGGGTTCCATACTTCTAGATTGTGCAGTTTGGGATGAGTGAGAAGCTGGGCCAGATGTCCTTCGACTTTCCCCAACGAGGCAAGGCCCTGCTCATCGATGAGGAGGTCCGGCGCCTCATCAGCGCTGCCTACAAGCGCACCCTGGACCTGCTGACACGGTGTCGGGAGCATGTGGAGAAGGTTATTGTGGCCTCTGCCAAAATGGCTGGGTCTTGGGTCCCATGTTGGGTCACATTCAGGCCACACCTATCCTTGAGCTTGCTCAGCTCTGGGCTGTGAGCACGTCCTCAGAGCTGTCTGACAAGTGGGCCATTATTTTCAGGTGGGCCAGTGGCTCCTGGAGAAGGAAGTGCTGGAGAAGGCAGACATGGTGGAGCTGTTGGGTCCCCGGCCCTTCGCGGAGAAGTCCACCTACGAGGAGTTTGTGGAGGGCACGGGTGGCCTGGAGGAGGACACGTCCCTACCCGCGGGGCTGAAGGGCTGGAACCGGGGACAGGAGGAGGGAGACATAGAGCAGCCTGTGCGGGGGAACTCTTTGTAGCCGCTGGTGGAACTCAGGTGGAGCTCCGATTACCTGGGACCTTTGCAAAGCAGCTGGAGAGCTCACCAAAAACAAATTAAAACCTGACAGCTGCAAACTGGTGTTTTAGATGAGTGTGCTCTGAGCCCACATGCAGGGCGTGGGATGGGTGGAGGGGCTGCCCTGAGTCCCTGGGTGTTTTAGATGAGGGTGCTGTGAGCCCACATGCAGGGAGTGGGGTGGACAGAGGGGCTGCCCTGAGTCCCTGAGTGTTTTAGATGAGGGTGCTCTGAGCCCACATGCAGGGAGTGGGGTGGACAGAGGGGCTGCCCTGAGTCCCTGGGCCCTGCTGCTAGAGGACAGTCGGGTCCGGGTTAGAGGGAGGGGAGCAGGGCTCTCCTGTGGTGCTGAGGAAGGCGTGGTGCCTGTCTGGGAACCCTGAGTGTAGCTTCAGGAGGGGTTTGATGGGGCATCTGGAGACACTGGACCTTCCTGGGGCCTGCCTCTGTGGAGGAGTGTTGGTGTGGTCGTAAAGTCACTCGGAGTCAGGGCCCAGCACAGAAACCCTCTCAGTTTGGTAGAATTCAGAACGCCAGCCAGTTGTCAAGGCAAAGTCAGGTTTCTTAAGCAGCTGTTTGGGTGGGTAGAAGCTCATCTGCTCATCTGTCCTTCAGAGGGAAAGCCCACTCCACCCACAGGTGCGTGGCTGAGGGAGTATGGCGGAACTGGGGGGCTCCATACCTGAGGTTCCATGCCTGGGCAACCCCCACCTCTGCCTGCACCTGGGCCCCGTGGTAGCCCTGCTCTGAGTGTGAGGGATGTGAGTTGCTTTGCAAAACCTGGAACGCCTGGGGTTCCATTCTGGGGCACCCCTGGCCTCTACCTGCTGCTGGGCCCCATGGCAGCCCTGCTCTGAGTGCGGGTGACATGAGTTGCTTAGCAAACCGGGCACCTATCCTTGGAGTGAAGGTGCTTTAACCGCAGATGTGTCTGAACTTAAGACCGCATCATCCTGTGACCTCTTTGTTGGAGTCTTGGAGGGGAAGCTCTGCAGGGCCCTGGCTGGCTCAGGGGTGTTTGTGGAGAGGCCGTGGTCCTGAGCCCTCAGCATGCGGCCACCTCTGGCCCTGGTGCCTGTTCATGAACCCTTTTCCTGGGGCTGGGTGGCTCTTAATAAAAGGAAGGCCCCGTCTGGGCTTTGAGCTCCAGGCCCTTTGGTGCTTCAGGAGGCACCAAACTTTAACTGAGAGAGGCTTTGCTTTTTCTTAACTGGGGTGTGGGGGACTCGGTGAGGATGCCCGTGTGCTTTCTCCAGGACTCACTGGGGTCAGCAGCAGCAGGGCTGTGCAGTGTCAGCCTCGACACACTGCCTTGGGGTGGGGTGGATGCATGTCTGGGTGACCTGGGATGGGAACTGGGGAGACACCCTTTTGCAGATGTCCTGGGTGAGTGGCAGGAGGAGGCGGCCCTGCTGGCCGTGCGGCACTGACCGAGGCCATCTCTGGGGAAGGCGCGGCATCGACCGAGGCCATCTCAGGAAGGTGCGGCACTGACTGAGGCTGTTTCTGGGTCCACGGTCATAAGACACCTTGCTGAAAATTTTCACGTGTGGGAGGTCCACATTTCTCAGAGCCCAGCATGAAAGCACACAGAGCCCAGTGGGCCTGGCAGAAAGCAGGTCACCCCTGGCCGGGCTCCATGGCATCTCACTCCATGAGTAATGACAGTGAGTAGGAGTTTTGGACTCATCTGGTGCCTCCTCGTGACCAGTGCTAGTGGCCGCTGGGACATGAGTGTGTCCAGAGCGACTCCCCTGCCTGGGCCACCTTCATGGTGCATGTGGGGCAGGACTTACTCCCTGAATCCTCCCTTCTGTTGTTAGTACAACACTCACCCCCAGATGTGACCCAAGTCAGCGCAGCACAGCATAGCAGAGCCCTCGGGCTCTGGCAGCTGGGGAATGATCAGGGCCAGGGCAGCTCAGCCCACACCCCTCAGCAGGCACCTGGTGCACTCTGGTGTTGAAAAGGAAGAGACTGCAGCCAGGCCATCAAACCTGTAGTGATGTTTTAATCCCACTGTTTGTAAATGAGCTCTGTGGAACCTCAGCAAGAAGGATGGAAGATGGGGAGGAAGACCCTGGTGGGTGGAGGTGTGGCCAGGGCGCAAGCCTACTTTGATGGGACTGAAAGAGAGCTGCTGGGCTCTGTTCCTGGAAACCAGGGCTGGAGACCTGGCTGAGAGAGGAGCTGGATGGCAGAGGAGTGCTGAGAGGCAGGGAGTAGCTGAGAAGTGGGAGCAGGTGCCGCCTCTAAAGCCCCCTACACAGAAGGAGCTCTAGAGTATGCCTGGGCATCTGCAGAAGCTCTGCTGAAAGGCCAAAAGCCAGTTTTCCTTCCCCAGAAGTGTGCTCATAGGAAATGGGAGGGGGCAGGTGGGCTTGGGGATGGAGAGCAAGCTTACACTTTCATATTAAACTCATTCTTTGACTTGCTATCGAGCAAGAAGCCTATTCTGTGACCATCAGCATGTGACCACTGGGAGGGCATGAGCTGGGGCCCCCAAACACCCCTAGAGTAGAGGAAGGAGGGTCTGTCAGCCTCCCCTGCTGCTCCCTGGACACAAGACCCATGGGGTCCCATGGACCCCAAACCTGCCCAGCAAGTTTAAGGGCCATGGGCAGGCCATGTATCCAGGCAGTGGGATGTGAGCATAGACGAGGATGTGGCCTCGTAGTGGGTGCAGGACAGGGAGAGGGTGAACCCCACCCTGAGAGCATTCAGGAGGTGTTGCCAAGTTTCTGAGGCAGTCTGGTGATATTTGGTGTTCTGAGCTAAGGAGGGATGGACGTGGCTTCACGCAGGGACCAGGAAAAGCAGGTGCAGGTCTCAGAGCTGAGACATGGGGCAGGGACCCTGGTGAGACAGTGGCTCTGTCGGGTAGAAGAAGGGGCAAGATGGGAACGATGGGACTTTGGGGGCTGCTCCTCCATGTGCTTTGCTGGACAGCACAGTGTCCCATTAGCCAAACCCACTTCTGGCTTCTGAGCTGGGTAGCAGGGAAAACGTGGAGGTTGGAGCACACCCAGGAATTCCTGGAGTGGCTCTCTCAGGCCTAGGTCCCCCTCACCCCAAGGCCACCGTGGCCTGCTGCACTCCTCACTGCGTGCCTGATAGTGACTCCATGATACTGTCTTCCTGATTTGGGGCTCAGAAATGAGCTGGACGTAAGGCCACTGGGCTGTGCTTGTGCTGCGGCTCCCAGAGGCATCCAGGGGCCCCGTGTGTCCCCCAGGAAAGCCGCTGGTCTCAAAGTGAGGCTAAGACCTGTGCCCAGCAGACAAGGCAGGCCTCGGGTTGGCAGGGAGCCTCCTCCAGAGCGCTTCCAACGCTGACTCACTGTGTCAGGATGTGACGGCTGGAACCTCATGGGAGGACGCAGTGTGTCTGCTGGGTCAGGACTGCCTAGATCTGCCATCGTGGTGGTGTTCTGGCAGAGATGGCCTAGTCCTCCGGGGGCCTCTCCACAGTGAGGAACGTGTCCAGGACCGCAGCCTGCCGCTCGGGGTCGCCTAGGGGCTGCTTCTCGCGGTTCTGCTCAGCCCTTGTCCTCGTCCAGGAAGGGGAGCGCAGGCAGCCGGCCCGGGGCAGTGGGTGCAGACCTTGGGGGGGATGCAAGAAGGGGGCTCAGTGTGGCCGGGAGCCCTGGGCGGGTGTGTGGGAAGGGGGCTCAGTGTGGCCGGGAGCCCTGGGCGGGTATGTGGGAAGGGGGCTCAGTGTGGCTGGGAGACCTGGGGGGATATGGGAAGGGGACTCTGTGTGACGGAGTCTCGCTCTGTTGCCCAGGCTGGAATGCAGTGGCGCGATCTTGGCTCACTGCAACCTCTTGTCTCCCAGGTTCAAGTGATTCTCCTGCGTCAGCCTCCTTAGTAGCTGGGAGTACAGGCGCATGCCACACACTTGGCTAATTTTTGTATTTTTTTTCAGTAGTGACTGGGTTTCACCTCAGTGACCAGGCTTGAACTCCTGACCTTATGATCTGCCTGACTCGGCTAAAAAGTAACGTTTTAAGCAGCTTCTAGTTGGGCAATAGCAGCATGGTGAAGTGGTGATGTCCTTTTGCTAAAACACATGGTTAACCCAGGACTTCCCAAAGGGCCTCAGCTCACCACACACACTCAGCTCCGACGCTGGCCTCACCTGCCGGGGACTCAGTGTTGAGGTTCTCGTCGTCCGAGTCAGCGAAGACCTCGGCCAGCTCCTGGTCGGACATGTCGGTCAGTTCAGTGAGGTCCAGGAGGTCAAAGTGGACCTCCAGAGAGGAGACACTGCTCAGAGGCTCTGAGGGCAGAGGGGGTATGGTCAGCCCTTAGGCCCTCCCACAAGGCTGATCAGAGGTCTGGGGGTCTACAGGGCAGAAGGGGTATGGTCAGTCCTCAGGCCCTCCCACAAGGCTGATGAGAGGTCTGGGGGTCTAGAGGGCAGGGGAGTACAGTCAGTCCTCAGGTCCTCCCACAAGGCTGCTCAGAGCCCTGGGGGTCTAGAGGCAGGCAGAGGGGGTATAGTCAGAGCCCTGGGGTAGTCTAGGAGAGTGTGCACTGTGTCTTCCCACAAGGCTCGTGGGTGAACCACGGCTTCCTGCAAAGCCCAACACCGGGAGGGTGTGATGGATGCTGCACACACTCTAGACTAGAAAGCTTTCCCTTGACAGATAATGCAGCTGACACCCAGAGCACCACAGCTGCAAGAGCGCAGCACCCAGACCCCCCAGAGAGTGTCTGGACCCTGCTTCCTCATCTCCTGGGGGAGCTCACAGGGTCCCCATACAGTGCACTGGGCAGGGGAGCAGTACTTACGCCTCCTCTCTGTGATGGTATTGGGATGCCCCCCACCTCCTCCTCCACAGGCGTATGGCCACTCTCCCCTGTCCCGTGGGCTGGGACACCCAGTGCGGCCTGTGGCACCTCAGCCTCCTTAACGATCTCTGCATCCAAAGACACAGGGTGTCACCTTGAGACCCACAGGGCTCCCAGTTCCCCCCAGGATGCAGGACTGGGGTCAGGACGTGGCACATCCGTTCTCCTTTGAAGCTCTGGGCAGTGACCAGTGGATGATGGGA